TGTGTGTGTGTGTGTGTGTGTTCGTCTGTGTGTGTGTGTGTGTGTGTGTTCGTGTGTGCGCTTCCTGCAGGTTTGAAAAGTCAACATCAAACCTCGACCTCCCAAAGCCTCCGAGCAGGAGAAAGAAGACGCTGCCAAGATGTTCAGCACCAAAAGGTCAGCACAATGTCACTTTTGATCTATTCTTATCCACTCAAAAAAAAAAAAAGCCCGGCAGAAATCTCAGGGAATTTTAAAATGTCTTCTGCTGATAATTGCTGACATTTCTGGTCAGCTATGTTCCATTGATGACTTTGGATTCCAAAAGACATTGATGTGAAGAAAGGTGATGGTTGATTTCAGGTCACAACAAACAAATCATTCCATTTAGTTTAGTGTAAAATCTGTGAATTATTCTCTGTTGATATTTTCAGCTACCGCATTTCTAATTAGGTAGAGCCCAGAGAACCTTTTGAGCTGAAGTTTAAATACTCTCACAGCCTTTGTAGGACGTTTAGGAAACCCGGTTCTCAGTCTTTCCCAGCTTGTGTGTACATTCTGTATTTTTAATGGGACTCGCGGTAGCGTACGTACGTACGTACATCATTAATCACTTGACTGCAAGGTTGTAAGTGGTCACGTTGCTTAGCCAGTGTGTGTACGGTGGGTTAGGTGGATCAAAACAAAGTGCGTTTGGTTGTTTCTTTGATGTGAACCGGCTCACAGCTCGGGTTTGGTTTGTATTTAATTATCTTCAGCACTGGATACATCACTGAGAACAGCCCATTTATTCTACCATTGAAAACGCAAGTGAATTTCTCTTGAATAATCAATTCCATGACTTCTGAAAGAACTGTACGTTTTTAATCAATACGGTTATAATGTGCAGTCTTATTACCTTAGAAGCTCATTTTGTTTTCCCAGCCTTCAGGTATTTAACCGAGGGAGGTCCTGTGCAGAAACTACTGCTTGTGTGACTGTAGTTTTTCAACAGGAAATGTTAAATGTATGTGTCCACAGCCCAAACTGTTTATTTTTTAATTTATTCAGATATATTTTGAAGTCTAGTGTTTATTAGACTCCTTGTATATGACAGTTGAAATCGACTGTAGTTTAGGCAAACTTTTCTGCCTAAAACCTGGTATGAAAATACACACAAAATACGTCGGGGTGATGTCTTTTTCAGAAACTCAAAAGCATAAGAAATTAAAAGTAAGGATTAAACTGTGCGTTTGTCTGCTCTAACGTAAGCTTCAAATGTTAGCATGTCTGGCTAACTATCTTACAAGCAACAGTGGTAACACTAGGGTTATTTTCCAAGACCAAGAATCAGGCTACATTATTATTATTACAATATAATGATATCAAATAAATAGTGCACAGTGGATGTGCCATCTATTTGCCCACTGCGTGAAAGCTGGTCGTGGATGCTACTATATCAGAATGTAGGGCAGCATTAGCAGGTCTGTCCTGCTCTTTATTGGATTGGGTGAGGTTTACACAACGACAACCCCATACAAACTCTATCCCAGATAGAGTTGCATACCAAAAGACTGTAAACCGTTAGTCCACATTTTCAAAGTAGTTCTGATAGTTTTGCAACTGATCATTACAAGATCAGCTTACATTTGACCTTGTGTCTTCAAGCACACACACACACACACACACGCACACACACGCACGCACACAGGGTTGACATCTGCAGCTAAGCCGAAACGGCTTCATGTTGATGGCAGAAGAATCCACAGTGTATAATCCACACACACATCACCGCTGTGTTAATGCACAGGCTTACCGGGGCTCACGGTGTGTGTGTGCATGTATGTATGTATGTATGCATGTATGTATGTATATAGAATCATGAGTGAGTGCTGATGCATTATTCCATGCAAATTAAGCGTGGCTGATGTTTGTGCAGGATGGACGGTGAAATAGTTGAGTTGGTGCTTCGGGGGGGGGCCTAGAAAGCCCCGGGGCTCATGGTTCTTCAATGCGGCCTTGCACACTGTGAGATTGATAGACTAACATCCACCGCTCCAATCCTGATTTGGCCAAGATATTGACTGCTCCTTTGGCCACACTGTGGTAGTCTTATATGGTCGTCACTTCATAAATAAGCCACATGAGGCTTATTGTAGATATTTGTTGTCTGTCCAGGACAAGATATCCACAAAAAGAATAGGGTAAGGAACGTGTTCTGTTGTGAGAAAGCGGGGTATATGAGGAGGTTGAGGTATCATAATGTGTGTGTGTGTGAGTGAGAGATATTGTGGTACTGTGGGTGAGAAGATGATTAAACCAAGCCAGCTCTCCATCTTCAGGGAGCTGTGTCAGCACAGGCGATGACACGAATATGCTCAAAATGACTATAATAGGTTGCCATCTTCAAATTCAAAGACTCTAAAAGCTCATTCACCGTTTCTGCTGAATGTGGAACAAAGCGGTTTTTTTGTTGTTTTCGTCTCCCCCCTAAACTGCTGAATGAAACATAAAGCGGGCGAGGAAATCTGTGTAGCTGTCGGGGATCGCTATGTGCTGCAGTGGCTTTATTATCTGTGGGTTTTTAAAATTGGCTCTCCTCTTGGGCTCCCTCCAGTCGCCTCAAATCACACTTGCATACGACACGAGACCCAAATTAAAAGTCTTTCATTAAAATGTAATCAGTCAAATGTCTGAGCATAGCAGCCTAGTTTTGATTTGAATGGAATGGAAGCGTGTGATAATAAATCCAAAGCATTGGCACGTCTTTGTGCTTCTCACTTTTTCTGTTTAGTGCTCTCTCCTCTGCTGAGCCGCCTCACCATAATGGATAAACGGAGAGCGCGCGCATCCACAGCGTGATTGTTTGTGTGTACGCTCGCTCATTAAAATGGAACTGGAGTGCCGTTAATCTGCGTCTTTCATTCCGCATGAGAACATTTATGAAGTGACGCACCATATCTTTGATTTGGGTTGCAAATTGAAACTTTCTTGTCGGAGACGCTTCTGCCTGCGAGCATAAATCTGCGATTTGTAACTTATTTTTTATTTTCTTGTCTTAAATGTTAGTTGGCTTCTTCGTGGTGGGCGTTGATATTTCTTTTGTTTTGCCTCATCGGTAACAAGTTGCGGTGTATTCCACCACGATTGAAGATTTTATACGATTTAAGAGTTTTTATTTGTGTAAGTCGAATTATGGCAACCTGTACAGCTGTGTCAGTCTCATGCACACTTGCCGCCATTTTTCATGGATGTAGTTAATGTAGATGGTCATGTCGGAAAATGATGTCCCTGTTCTTTATCCCACCTGTAAAGCTTTTATTGGTCCATTTGTTTTTTTCCAACCAGCAGAAATAACAGTGGGCCCAACACCGTACCTATCTGAACAGCTCAATAGATATCTCATCCCTTCCTCCCACAACCAACAGTCACTCAACTGCTTTGTTTAGTAATACAAGCGGTTGCAAACTCTGTTAAGCCACATTATCAAAACCTAATGAAAATGAATGCTCCTCAACTGTCAGATATGATCATCCACTGCACTGTCAAATGTCATGTGCACCATTTTCATCATTACACCAAATATCAACATTTGCCTTCATTTTCACTTCCCAGAAGTTCAAACCGTGGGATGTTTACAACCGCCGAAGTTCCAAAAAATTGATGCATTGTAAGTAAACAGGTTATTCCCTTCACACTGCTGACTGGAGGCAGTTTTGGAGCAGCTCCTTCACAGGTCTTTCAAGGTTTGTTCGATGCCTAGTTTTTCTCCCAGCCAAAAGGTTTCATACATGGCTCCTGGCTTCTTATTTTGTGGACCAGTGTGGGAGGATAAGACCTAGAGGAATGTTGTCACCATGTTGTTAACTCTTGACTTGTTACTATTCTACGTGCCATCTAAACAGATAGCAGTAACTGTACTGCTTGTGGTTCATGTTCTGTGACACTACTTGTTCAGCTTCCACCTGGAATGTTGCGGACGTCGTCTAACTCCACCACGCGACACAGCCTCAGTCCGACCCAGATGAAGTCACTCAGCGCTGTCTTCCCGGGCTGTGGAGGTGTTTGCTCGGATGGCTGTTGCAGAAAGTAATTTGGTTTCCGCCCGTGGTTGTCAGCTGTGCGGGGTCATCAATACAAAGTAGTTCCTCCCAGCTGTTTTTTTGGAAACTTACCCGGACAGGAACAGGAAATGACTGTCGCGCCGGCAGCGGCTCAGACGGAGATCAAGGTGCGAAGGTGTCTCAACCGTAGCCAGTAATTGCCCTCAGTGGGAGCTGTAATGAAATTACCACAATATGAGTTGGACCCATTAGCGATAAAATGGTGGACCTGACCTCGCCCAAATCTCTCCACAGCTTTTCCCACATTTGATCTGACGGAGTTAATGTTTAATGTAGCCTGACTGCGATGCGGGATGCCCCATTATAGTGACACTGTGGAAAGGTGCCTTCTTGTGTCCGCTGATACTTTCTCCCTCCGCTTCAGTGGGTGACTCATCACAAACAATCCAAAACAGCAAAGAAAGTAAACGCCTGTATCCCTGCCTGCACCTCTGCCCTCATCTTTAAAGCCATCAATGTGTCACATATTTAGTATTGTAGTGAAGCTTCTGATGGCAAGCAAGTAATTACAGTCTTAACAAAATATCAGATCCGACATTGACCCCCCCACGTCTCCCGACCTTCATAAGGAGTAATTGGATATCTGACTGTCTGTAGCTCTGAGCTGGTGATCGACATCAATGGGCTTGCACTTGATTACTTATGCATGCAGGGGGAAGAGAATGGTGTCTGGGGGGGGCAGGCAGAGTGCATGCTAGGATGTGTTAACCCCCTGCGAGGGGCCTGCTGATCCAATCATGATGAACAGGCTGTCACACCGACGCCGCACGCCGACTCTCCTTGGGCCGACCTTGAAGGGTTTGCAACAGCGTCGCTGCAACTCATTCAAAGATGAACTCTCTTGCACTTTGAGGACTTGGTAATGTAATAAACATTAGGTTGGGCTCTACATGATTGATTTTAGTTGAATACCAAGCAAGTTTCTGCATTGGATTATGGTGTATACTTGGCCACAGATGGTAGTTTGTGAGCGGCTGGCAGATGTCCATTATAATAACATGACACCTCAAAAACCCCGGTCAGTATTTTGACCATCTTTTGTACAGCAGTGCACAAGGTACTAATAAACAGTAGCAACAGTACCTTTAGATTGTACTACAGAGAAACTCTAGCTCATACAACCTCGGACGGATTCCTAGGAAAGCGGCGACTTCACAAAAAGGACAAAGAACGGGACAAAGAACACAAGTAGTCAGATGATATAAAAAATTGTGTACAAACATGTAGATTAGTCATACTTTTCGTTAAATGAGAAAACAAAACTGTCCATTAATAACATCAATTCCTTATTCAACGTTCTACTACAACACTGTACTTGCCACAGTTGGTTTCCACTTATTATCCAACGTATGAAATCACTTCCAATTTGACATAATGCCCTATATTTACTGTCCGCCATTTTATTTGAATGTCTGAAATATTTGCTCTGGAATCTATGCACCATGTAGTGCCTGCAAACGTTTGTAGAGTGAAACAAAAAAGTAGCACGTGTTGCATAGACATTCTGCTGACAACGTGACAATGACATATGTCACATGATGCAAACTGGTGATGATTCAACTGTCCGAAATCACAATTTAATGCTGACTGTAGACCTCTTTATTGCCATCCTATTGCTGGGACAACAGCTTTGGTCCAAGTTTACTTCCTGTCAGCTACTGCATTAGCAAACATTGCAGCAGGATGCACAGAGGGGCCCATTTAGAACGTTAATGTTGTCAAGTTTGAAAAGGTCTTCAGAGTAAACTGTTGAGTGACTGTAGGTAATGGTGAACGAAGGAGTGACACAGCACATTGGGTGTTTTCCTTTAGGATTTGTTTTAATTTAAGTGATAAATAAAAAAATATATTCGACCCAATTTGTAATAAAGCTGCTGAATTGATAACCGACTGCAAACACACCTGAATCAATACGTGATGACGTTTACTGCACCTGTGGTAAGTGACCATAACTAGACACACATTGATGATGGATGGATGGATAGATAGGAACACTCGGATGTGGTCTCAATCAAGGTACTGTCAGTGCAGCTATGGTGGTGGTTAACGTCAAAGGTAGTTGTCGGGTTTTGGTGTCGGACCTTAATTGATAAAAGAGCAAGTGCCTCTCTCTAGACTCCCCATTCAGCTCAGTTGTTCAACAATCAAATGATGAGGAATCCGTCAGAGAAGAGCCTCAGACGAACATGGATCAGAATGCACTGCAGCTCCAAGACGTGTCGTCTTTTGTGTAAGCCAGAGCGAAAGAGGAAGAACTAATTAATACCTCTCTTTGAGTATTACCATCTTCACCAATATGCAAAAACACATGAATACAAAACCCATTCTGTTGGACAAAGACATTGAGATGGAGGAAATCATGCAGTGAAGTACAAGTCAATGGGTGGGGGGAGGAGAGAGTCTGGTCACACTAAACACTGTATCATAAATAACATCATAACTGTATGCAGGCCTTTAGATGGCCTCTGTGTGTGTGCTGCTGGAGCCTCTTTTCTTATTGGAGCCAGCAAAAACAATGTGGATCTAATCAGTCTCACGGTCTGTACCGCCACCACTTAGTTCATCGATGCAGACGTCTGCAGCTTTTTGATCAAGCAGACTTGGATGCAGCAGGTCCTGGACATAGGAAGTCCCCGCATCAGTAATGGAGCCGGAGGACCACTAAAACTCTGCAGGAAGGCGATGAGGAGAGGGCTTTCTGCTGACTCTGGAAAGAGGGAGGTATCAAATGTCAAGGGATGCATTAATTCCACTGTTTCTTTCATGAGCCTAAGCAGAGCAAGACTGGATAAATAAGCAGGAAAAGGTTTTGCACGTGTCAGTGTTTGTGCACCGCATTTATATTTATATATTTATATATGCTCTCAGAAAAGCCAGATGTCATTGAAATCCCATCTTTTCATTGAATGTTGACATTAAATGTGTTGATTCATCCGCTCTCACTGCACGATGTTCAGTCTAACTTCTCTTATTGATCGAGGGGCAGTCGACTCAACCACTCTATTGATTTTGCGTGCTATTTAAAGGAGATTTTGTTGGTCGATAATCAGTGGCCAGAGATAAGATCCCAGCTCCCCTCTGTGCGCTCTGACATGCAGGTCACCGGTCGAGCCTTACAGCCCCTGCACTGAACGCCGTCGCAGTCGGTTGGTTTTGTCCATAAGGTTAAGTCTGTTGTTGTGTTTGTGGATGGATGAGGCAAGTCTACAGCTTACTGCAGGTTGTTTGTGGCAGTATTTAAGCCTTAGCCTCGTGTGCTACTTTCTCTCCTCTAATCGCCAGTGGGATAAACACCACTACCATGACAACGGATGTATGTTGTGGCTGTCTGAAACACATTGCCCATTTTAATAAAGTTAAAGCAAAACTGAAAATCGATTGTATCGCAGTCCTACGACAACCTGGTGCCTACATTACCCACAATGCAACGCGATCACCGACAGTTGGGTTGGAGATTTGGCCGTGTTATGCTAGTAGTGACCGTTTTTTTTTTTTTTTTTTTTTTTTTTTTTTTTTTTTTTTTTTTTTTTGAGGAAAGAAGGCTTTATTGAACTAGCGTAATATGCTAATAATAATACATTAGCAACATTGGCATTAATTGGAATTCGTCTTTCTTGCCTCCAGAGGCATACAAATAAATGTTAAATGTTCCGCTTTTTCAACAGCTACTTGCTAACTTTAACGTTGAGTGCTTAGCATCTAGCTTCGTGGGTTTAGCAGAGCTTTTTCCTCCAGTAGGTTTCCTGGGCCCAACAGCCATAATGATAACCTAAAAGATGCTAAACTGTTTGGTAGAGCTCAGGTGTTTGATAATTCTGCGAGGGTTTGACATTACGAGTAACGCCTTTTATATTACTCATAGAGATTAGATCTGTTGTTGATAAGATATTGATTAGTACAACTTCAAACATCACCTAAGCATTTGTATTTCATGTCTGTGATCCTGTATGTGTTCCATGTAGTCTAGAAATGTCATGTAAAGGCCCCTGAGATTCAACAAGTCTCGGGTATTTACGGCAATACAGATGCCATAAATTTACTGCATCTGTATTATCGGGGGCTGTTCCCAGTGCACGCAGCACATATTTGTATTTATTCATAGCATGTACCCAGCATTCTATGCCACTACAATCAAAGTGAGTGGTGTAGCTCCACCCAGAGGACCCATCTCACCTCGTAAACAACATCAATGTAACGGAAACGATAAAAATAGCATAAAGGTCGGGGTGTAACATGCATGTTTCCTCACTCAGTTTCCCACCCTCGCACTTGTCACTTATTTTGATGAGCTATCTGCTACAACCTAAAGGTGTCCACCTCTAACTGGAGGCCGTAAATCTGCAAGAATTAGAAAAGAAATGTGGTTTTGAACAAGTTGTGTCCACTGCTCGCGTGTTTCTCGCTGCTTACTCCTGTTGTTGCTGTGCCCTTTCTGTGCATTAGAGCGACACAACAGCAGACGCCACACGCCCTCCGGACAAGGGTTTAAGTAGATAAACATGCGACTTATAATATAGAACAGATGCCAATCATTTGTTATTTGAATGTGTGAATTGGTGCATGTTGTAGTATTAAGTAGCAGTATTACATTTTATTTATTTTATGGTGGCAGTTCAACTCCTCGTTGGGGAAGCAGAACGAATCGACAGCTATACGTCTCCTCAGGAGACTCAATTATTTGAGTGCAATGTATTGCCTCACACATCCGATCAATGCACAGAGGTTGAATGTCACCTGGTGAAATTGGTGAAAGTGAGCCCCGCAGGCCACGTGCACCAGCTAATGAAATTTTGATGCAGCTTTATTTAGAGCTATATTTTACAGGATTACGTTCCAGGCTCCGTTTCCAACTTCAAAGGCGAGCTCTCACCACAGCTTGGGGGGGGTAGCGAGCCGAGCCGCTCCCCTCAATAGGAAGCTTCCTAACAGTTTTGTGCTTTTTAAATTTTTTTTCTCTCCACCCTTTCTTCCATCATTCAAAAGGCTCCCAATGAACAGTTCTAATCTGAGTCTTTATTTTTCATCCTTCTCCCACTTCGCTCGGTTAATCCACGAAGTGAGATATGCAGTGGATTTGTGTGTGGCTCTCTTGATTTAGATTAGTGCTTTCATCAGTTGTGGCCAGATGAGAGTTACTGGGGTGGGGGGGGTGTTATAGAACTGCCAGCTCTCTCCATTAAAATGGTTCTAGACTGGTGACAGCTTAGCCCCAGAATAAACACTGTTTCTGCAGCACGGATGCATTCATATCCTACGGCTGATGTGAAGGCACGTCAGTGGTTGCATCTGTCGGTTGTCACAATGTGCCGAGTGCATTTAATGGGGCCGCACAACTAATAGTCTCAAGATCACAATCTTGTGCGATGTATTTTGTGTTACCTTCCTGCTGTGTTCGCAGTAGCTGGGAGATGCGTTGCATCAAACCCAGCGCTCCCAATTTCTTGCTCTAAGCTGCATCAACAAAATGACAGGTGTGATGTGTGAGAGACAAGTTAGTAAAATGCAGTGAAAGAAAAAAAAATAGCATAAATACCTGGATTACATAATGTAATGCAGGTTGCATGGCACATTCATGGTCAAGCCAAACTATGGAATTCTACATTAGTAGGGGTGTAAAACTACATTGGTGTTGATACTTATTGTCATCTTTAAGATACGCCTTCATTTTGAAATGCCAATGAAACATCTGTGTCCACCCTTTCCTAAACATTCAAACAGTACTTTAACATGAGAAACTGGGCACTTAATAATGAACAGCAGGAGGTTTGTTTAAAAAACAAAAACGATAACATTTTCAAATCCTGTTTTTTTTTTTTTTTTGTGAGTTGATACAAATGTAACTGATTGTGTTGAATGGGCCTATGATATTGTCTCATATCGATCGCAGGCCCCCGATTTCAACCAATTCAAAAATGTATAACAATGTACTTTGTGATATCTGCAAATATCGTGTTATTGTCCAAATAATCTATATAATCTTGTGTTGTGATGAAGCTTGTAGTTTACATCACCATGCATTGGTCAGCAATGACTTTGTCATGTTTAGTCTAACTGGAGCAGGCTTCTACAGGCTGGAGGTGGGGGAAAAAAGGTTTGCATAACAAAAGCCCTCCAGACAAGGCCTCAGCGTTTCTGGGCACAGACCACATCCAGCTACAAGTGGGCTGTTGTATTCAGTATTTAATTACATGCACACAGTAACATTTAAATAAAATAAAAAAAGCAGATAACAGACTTGATTGTCCTTGCAGTATTTTTGCTTAAAAAAATATAATAACTCCACAATCCATAAACCCCAAGTGTGTAGCACTCCCACTGCTGGTATATGGTAAATGCCCATGTTACGGTCAACCTTCCCCTTTGGCCTCCCGCTGTACCTCCTCATCTCCTTCCCTCTCTCGATTCCTCTCTTTCTCCTCATCCTCCTGCTGGATGGAGGGTTTGCAGTGCCCCAGGAGACTGCTGACCTGGGGTGAACACTGGAGAAGAGTCAAATTAATGCCTTATTTCATTACTCGCATTTAAACACCAGCAGCGGCAGCGCTTCTCAATGTCATCCAGAGGGTAAATGCTGCTCAACCAGAGGGAGGGGGGGGGGGACGGACGACGACGACGACAGCAGCACCATCATCACACACACAGGAAGACCTCCACTACTAGAAGCAAAGCCGGTGTTTATTTGAATACCTCTGTGTATCTTAGACCAGTGCAGTTATTTGTAATGCCGACAGGATCTCTCTCCTCTTTGTCTCTGGGGGTTCAGCTTTACACCATGCAAACAGATTGGGCCAGCGGTAGCCGGAGATGGAGGGAGCACCCCGGGGTGGTTGGATGTGTTTGTTAAAGCATGCTAATTCACTGTGGGGAGAATGCCGGAGGAAATCAAAACACCCATTTCAAAGATAGTCTGCATCTGTAGCTGCACAGACTTTCTATGTCTGGGCTTTTGTCCTTGTGGCTCAGAGTATTTCATATCTTAGAACAGATTAAGAAAAAAAGGATGTCTATCTATCTATCATAACATAAACAAGTTTAGACAAAAAGTGCTTCAAACAGCCAGCAATTAGGAGTCGGATATGCCGCTTGTACGGCTATCTCCCACTGCCATTGCATCTAACTCAATTTGCTGACTGCTGTGACATTTTTGTGATCATGGAAAAGTGCACTGGCCGAATTTATTGTCGCAGACGGCCCCTGCTTCGTTGATGGATGCGCTCTGAGCTCATCCTTATCTGGCAGGAAGCATTAAAACATGAAGCGTACCATTTGTTTTTCTGTTTTCTTTTTTTTTTTGAAAGTCGCCGAGCCACAATGCATCTAGGACACCAGCGCTGGGGTCAGGGCGGCTAAAATCAAAGGGATTCTGAGGGAGGGACTTCATGGCAGTGTCTGTAGGACGGACATGGTCATGGCGGCTATGTGTGGCTCTTAAGCTGATTGCAAAACAGCAGTATAAAAGCCGAGTTTGATGTGCAGCGGATGAGTTGTGGAGGAATCAGAGCACAGACATTTTTTGTAGTGAGCGTGGGTATTATGACTGGTCTACTAAAGTAGCGCAACTAGAGTGGCCTGGAAGGCTATTGAGATTGGACCATGTGCTCAGGTTTGGCTAAATTTGCCTCGGCTATCCAAAGAGAGGGAATGTCAGGGAGGGATTCTGGTTATTTTTGTTAAAGGAAAGCACAGTTAAGAAACATACTGATTTGAGTCCCATGAAAGACTTCACTTACAACTTTACAAGGACACATGCTACAATGTGTTCGCACAAAGGTTCTTCTGAAGTAATAGTTCTAATTTGGGAAATTTGCTTGTTTACTTTGTTGCTGAGAGTAAGTTGAAGGCAGAAACCACTCGGGTCTGTACACTAACTACGAAGCCAGTCGGTTAGCTTAGCTTAGCACAAAGACTGAAAACGGGAGCAAACAGCTAGCTTGGCCCCATCACTGCGGGGTCCTCCAGAAGTAGCCCTCTGTAAAACCACAAAGTGCTGTTTTTGTCTCTATAGTTTTTGTCAGATCTAGCATCTTAATTAGTGAGCTTTAGAAGTGCCGGTAGCCGGGTTTGGTCACCTTTGAGCAGAGCAAGGCTAGCTGTTTTTCTACTTGTTTACAGTTTTTGTGATGAGCTAAGCTAACTGGCTACCTTCAAACTTTAGTATTATCAAACACAGCTTCGAGGACGCAGTCAATTTTGTGAACCTCCACAACACTCAGCAGAGGGGACAATCGGGTAATCGGAGACCTGCAGACCAGAGGTTTTAGTTCCCCTGCTGTTTGATTCATGCACTCTAGAAAAAACGCGTGGTTATGAAATCATTTTTGCCCCAGAAATGCACTCACACATGCATACATACACATATTATTTTTAAGTTCCACTGGAGCATCTCTAAATTATTTCTGACAAATGCACCCAGCGATTCAGACCAGAGGCATCTTAAAATAAACTGCCCTTTTCCCTCCGTCTCCTCCTGACTGCTGCTGAATTCAAATTGCCCCCCCCCCCCCCCTTTTCCCGAGTGCTGTTGCCTCAGGTTGGGCCTGTGACTCATCATAAAAGGAGAGAGCTAGGTAATGTGGTGGCGCCCTGAACGCTACGCACATGGCATACAAAGACAGAAATACTATATTGGAGCGAAGAACAAAGTTCAATAACTGAGTGCTCTGTGGACGTTGTGTGAATGCTCAAGAGGGGAGCCTGCTGCACAGCAGAGTGAGGCACTGTGCTCGAGGGGGGGTTAGGAATAGATGATGTAAGGGGTGGAAGAGAAAATATACAAGGCTAAAACACAAAGAGAGCTCCAGCTCAGGGCTTGTTTATTATCCTTTCACTGAAGGACACCATAAGCATTCTGATGACTGCCAGATTCGGACAATAACTGTCATTTTATTTGTTTATTACATTTTGGTTCATCATTTCCCGTTCATTATACTAAGGTTAACCACCCATGTGTCAAGGTAATGAATTATAACTAATTAATAATTCATAAATGGTGGATATACTCGTTCTTAATAGTAAATTAAAGTACAATATAATAAAAATATATAAAGTATAAAATAAGAAAAACAGCTGCTTGCATATATTATAGAAAACGTCTTCCATTTTTTAAATTCTATTTATGAAGCAATATTGCTCTGCCAATTTATATTAATTGTAATTAATTCAAATCAATTATTTTTAGTTTCCTTTTAACATCGGGAATGCTAAACTGTCTCACTAGCTTCTCCTCCGAATGCGCCACTTGTTTGATGGTTTTAGTTTGGATAGTTAAGATAAGCTCTTCATTGGATGTTCATGTTACACAGTGCATACTGCACTGTAAATTAGCGGGAAATACCGTTTTAATAAATCCTGTTACAGGAGAGGTGCCCCTGCATTTCCCAGTTGTCAAAGCAAATCATCATATTGGCGAGTGGCACTGCTGGGAAATGGAATCTATTTGCGGGCTCTATATCTATCAGAGCGAGGAACACTTGACTTCCATCAAACACCAACTGGTTATGAACAAATTCCCGGCTCCGCTGTACGTGTGCTTTGTGAATTGCACGTTGTTCTCCTGTGCATTCGTCTAAGACTTCATAAAATAAATCTGCTCCAATGAGGCGCAAAGCTCTTCTCTCCAGTTTCACAAATTCTGGCTTTGTAATGGCACCATCCTTTAACCTCCACAGTGCTGCGCCGTCCATATCTGGCTATTACAGTCATGTGTATTGTACGGTGGTGTATGTATATGTCTGTGTCTGATCCCCATCCTTGCAAGTGCTAACTCATAAATCTATTTGTAATCAAACGTAATTCAATCTCCTGACCTGTGAGCTATGAGCTCTCTGCAGTCTGATTGCAGCTTGTGATGTGTTTACAGACTTACGGTGCTGATTAAGTGTGGGGAAGGTTGTTCTCCACCAGCCACAGCTAAATTAAAATGGGGAGGTGAGATAGGGCCTGTCATCACCAGCTTTAGTACCCCACACACACACACACACACACACACAAACGAGGATATGTGCCACAGAGTCGGCAGCAGCTGCTTGCACACCTTACAGGCAATTAGCACTACTACTTTGAAATAGCTGAAATGGAAGAAATAACCAGGTTTTCCCCATCAGTTATGGAAAATCTGAACAGTGATCTTACAACATAGAATACTTTACAATTGACCGTTCGCTAAACAACTCTCTGCCAAATCATAGCTGAGCAACTGCAACTAGACGGACCTGTCGAGCTTTGGATATCTCCACACCGTCTGTCGTAAGAGCAGAGCGGTACCAGAGACATGGCAAAAAGACGAGAGCCATCATTTAAGAGCTATTTACATGGTCCGAGTCAGCCACACATTAAAGACTCAGCCAGCTCAAGCCAACGTTAGCTTAATAAGCTAGCTGCAGTAGCTGTCACCAGCTACATTTGCTAGTGATGGTTGTTATTTCAACAAAAAATTGACGCTTGGGAAATGAGAAGCCGACTTTTGTCATCCTCTCTCTGAAATGTTGGTTATCAGACAGACACGAGCATGCCGGCATCATA